AGAAAATTCCTCAACTGAAAGATCTAAAGCCTTATAAATATTTGAGTACCAAAAGTGAGGACCTCCTAATTTCATTGTAGGATTTAACATTGCAGCAACACCATAAATAGGGGGGATAGGGAAAAAATATTTTTTAAACTTTTCTTTCATTGCATTTATAGCAAGTTTATAAATTTCCCCACCCTCCGAAAATTCAACAAACAAATCACATAGTGCTGCAATATAAACTAAACAATTTGAAATAGTAGGATAATATTGTCCAGAAAATGCATTTGTAGCAATTTGAAAATGTTCTAAAAAATCTATAAGAATTTTGACATTCGTCCAATCTTGATTTGTAAGGATTTCATCATCATCCTCACCACCAACACGAGCATTAAACGTTGCATTAATTGGGTTTCTATATTCATATGCAACTACTAAACTTTCGTACATATAATTCCATCTAGTTGGACAAGGTTTAGGAACCTTTCTTTCTCTAAGGCCAAATTCATCACATTTTTTAAAATACTCTCTAAGTCTACTTCTACGGTTTGAATAAAAAAGCCAATTAAGAGCCATTCTAACCTTTTCAATTTCTAAATTTAAAATTCTCATACCATCACCGACGATTAAATGGTAAATGTGACAAATACATCTCACATGGAAACAATTACTAAATGCAGGATTTAGTGTTGTTGTAAGTATGCCTATAGCACTAGTGTTACTAGAAGCATTATCCATAGAAATTGCCATTATTTTATCTCTAATGCAAAAATATCTACAAATATCTGCAACAGTGTTAGCAATAAACTTACCTGTGTGACGTGAATTAATTATTCTATACGCAATAATGCGTTTTTGCATTATCCACTCCTCGTCTATCCAATGACTTGTAACAGTTAGATAATCACAGTCATTATTACTTCTACCAATATCAGTAGTAATAGAAATCCGATTAGTTATATGAGTAAATAAATACCGCAAATATTGTTCATATTCATGTTTATATTTATAAATATCGCTCTTAACTGTTGCGCGAGGCCAACCTTTATAAGTAGGATTAAAAACTTTTCTAATATAATGCACAAAATTAGGGTTAGAAGGAAAAGTATATGGTAAGCACATAACAGTAACCATCTTTGCTAATTCTTCACGATCTTTATTAGGATCGTAATATAAAATACCACCGGTCACAGTGTTAATTCCTGGTTGAACTAGATTTGAACCTGTACTAGGGTTAACCGCAGTATCTACACTTGTCCCCTCTTGCTGCGCTTTCATTTGTAAATATTTAACTTTATCTCTAGGGTGTGTTTGTATGTGCCTAGCCAAACTACCCGTACCGCTACGGTCTCCAGTATATTTATGCGCCAGCAATTTCCCACAAGTTTTACACCTAGCCTTATTTTGTTCTCTTACTTGAGTAAAAAAATTCCAAACTAATGATGTTTCTAGGCGTTTAGAAGGTTGTCTATTAAAAGTAGGGGTTTCTACAGGTGGGTCGGGCGGGGCATCAGTTGGGTTATTAACAGGACTAGTAGGTGAATCATCTAAATCCGGTTGGGTTTCATCTACATCCTCATTTTCCTCATCATTTTCTAAGATAGTTTGATTAGGATAAAGAGCATTCATAACTTCTTCATTTAATTGTTCACCTTGTGCAACATTATGGCAAAATTCACTATCGGAAAATTGAAAACAAGGGTTATCACTATCAAGAATAATAGGAGCAGCAGGACGGGTAACAGGTCTGGGTCGGGGAGCCGGGGGAAGGGTAGTAGGTTGGCGACTACTTTCACCAATTTTAGCTTTTCCCTTACCACCAAATATTTTTTTCAAAGAAAATGCCATATTAATTACAATTATGCAAACTAAAACACACAAAAATATATTCTTAAAACTTAAGAGTTGGAACGAGTTTACCGAATTGCCGAACAACTTCTTGAAAATTGAAAATCGTTGAAGACTTGAAGACTTGAATACTTCAATTTACCAACTTCACAATTTTTCACGAAATTGCAATAATAAAATAAGCAATTATAGAAGAGAAATTAGATATAGATTGAGAGAGATTGATAAATTGGTGAGTAAAAATGAAAGAATGAGGGGGTATTTATAGTTGAAAATTGGAAAAAAGTATAATTATATAAAGTTTGGGGTTAAATTAAAGTTTGGGGGCCAAAGGCTATTTTTTAAAGTGGCCAACGGATCAATTTTGAAGGCCAATGGCTAGATTTTAAAAATCTGACCGTTGGTCTTTTTTTTTTAATTTTTTTTTTTTAAAATTAGCCGTTGGAGCCCGTTAGGCCCGGTTGAACCGGCCCAGGCCCGCCTGCCGGTCCCGGGCTTAGCGGTCCCGGGCTCGTGGGCTCCTTGAAGTAGACCGTCCCGCCACGGGCCTTGCGCACCATTTGGGACCGGCCCACCAAGCCCGTTTGGCCCATTTGGACTGCGGTCCCGGGCTGGGCCCGGCCCACAGTGCAGCATTAATGAATACTAGAACAATATTTGATCAAAAAGAACTAACACTATTTCATAAAACAAATAATACTAATTGATACTAATAACTACTACTTATGTAAAAAAAACTATGATTACATTATGTTTATTCACTAGCTACTACGAATAGGAAAAATGGAAATCAAACTACTCAATCATCTTTAACCACAGATCCATCACCAATCAAGTGGTCTATTTTTCCATCGGGGTGCTCAAAGTAGTCTGCTACATCTAAGTGGGTGATGTCAAATTCATTGTCATAGACAAAGTTAGCTTCAGGGTCTTTATTCTTTAGAAATGCTTGATAAAGCTCAACCAAATGTCTTGGTACACGATAAATATTTGCCCAATGCCCTTTTCATCCGCAACGTTAACATTCAGTTTCTGAACCATTAGCCTTTGGCTTCTCATCTTTCCCTTTCCACTTTTGGTAGTTATTTTTCTTTTGGGGGTGATTAATACCAGGAGAATTTCTTCCTTGTCTACGGCCACGTCCACGGCCACGACCACGACCATGAATAGGGCTACGGCCTTTTCCACGCTTAGCATAATGGGAATACACCTCATCCACTTCAGGAAAAGGTGTAGACCTAGTGGGTCAATTTTCGTGATTTCTCATGAGCAAGTCATTGTTTCGTTCAGCCACAAGTAGAAGAGAAATCAACTCAGAGTACTTCTTGAAACCTTTCTCTCTGTACTGCTGTTGCAAGACCATATTGGAGGCATGAAACGTTGTAAACGTTTTTTTCAAGCATATCATAGTCAGTGATAGTATCTCCATAGAGTTTCAATTTAGAAGTAATTTTGAACATCACAGAATTATATTCAGAAACAGACTTAAAGTCTTGGAGCCTCAGATGAGCCCAATCATATCGTGCTTGTGGAAGAGTGACCAACTTTAAGTTATCATATCTTTCCTTTAAGCCATTCCACAAAACAAGTGGATCTTTGATTGTGAGATATTCTATTTTCAACCCTTCATCAAGATGATGGCGCAAGAAAATCAAGGCCTTAGCATAGTCTTGGGTGGATGCTTTAGTTTTGTCTTTAATGGCGTCTCCAAGACCCATTGCATCTAAATGGATTTCAGCATCCAACACCCATGTCATATAGTTCTTGCCCGAAATTTCAAGGGCAACGAACTTTCTTTTCATAATATCAGTCATAATTAAAAGAGGAGAAAAGTTATACCTTAGTCTTCTCAAAGAGCTTCTTGAGATGGTAGAGTCTCGTGCTGACAACGTGTAATAAAAGTAGAAGAACAATATTGCAGAGAAAGAGAGAGTAATTCTTGTTGAGTTTTGGGATGATTTACAATGGGGTAAGATCCCTCTATTTATAGGGGAAAAATGACTTAGCCACTAAGTAAAACTCTTTAAAAGATAGACATTCACTCTAATTACAATTCTATTCATAACAGACTCATCATATTATAGTATTTTGTTTGCTTATAGTATTCTATTCACTTATAGTATTTTTGACCATCAACACAGGCTTTCACCTTCTATGGTGATGAGGCTTTGACCTTGTCCTACCTTTTTTATTAAAAAAACCAACAATAAAGCATAGAGGTAATTTAAGAAAGATAAACAAGTAACTGAAAATATGGTGCAAATTAAATAAAGAAAAAATGATGTTTCTTTCGAACCATGTTGTTAAAAAAATCTATATACAAACAACAATCTGCACAAAAAATGTTTGGTAGTTACTTGATTGTCAAATAGAATGAAAGACGATGGAATCCAACAACAAAATTGTGATATTGTTGCTTTTGAATTTTGACGAGTAAGAGATGAAATAGTTTTTTTCTTTTTTTTTTTTTTTGGTTAGAAGATACGAAATGGTTAGTTAAAAGGACTATACAAATAGGAAGTCTTTAATTGTCCGATCTTTTGTATTGTAAAAAATGAGGAGAGGAGAGGATAGCTAATGGATAAATTTAGATTCATATAGCTTTAGGGAGATAATAAGATTATGAACAAAAATTAAAATGTCAAAGATTATTCATTGAAAGGTGAACAAAATTAAAATAAAATTATATTGAAAAAGGTACATATCTCATAACATGTTAAGAAAAGTAATCGTAACAACGAAAAATATTCATCTTGTAAATTTATAATTAAAGCAAAATAAACAATTATCAGAAATACTTAGCATACTCAATTACATAGTGGGCCTTAAAGGCATTACTAGATTGAAAGAGTGAAATCTTAAACATCTAGCAAAGTGGTTCCATTAGTGATATTAGTGTTTAATGATAATTAATATTTATTTCTCTTCCATAATTCCTTCTTCTCTTCTTTTCTTCTTACGTAATATTTTTTTTCTTTTCATTCGAGGTGTTTTACAAAATCAAACAAAATTTATATATTTTTCATGAAATAAATGTTATTATTCATAATTAAGTAAAAAATGTATAACCACAAATAAAATCTTCTTTAGTCAACAAAATCTCCATCCAACTACTTAAAGTTGACTACATATCTTCTTGTAATAAATTTACCCTTTGTCTATAGTAAATTCATCTTGTAAATTCTTCATTTTTGACTGCAAACAAAAAGTAAAAAAAGTGAATAAACAGTATAAGAACATAATTAACACATATATATACAGAGATTCTCACGTTTATGTGTGTGCTTATATATAAGTATTGAGAGAGAAAGGAAAAATTTCTTAATCCAGGGATTTTGCAGAGCTAGAGAGAGAAAGAAGAGAGAAGGAGAAGAGGAATGGCTTCATTCGATGCGTTCAGTATGGACGGTGAGTCGCCGGCACCGGCACCGGCGGCATCAACTCCGTTCGACGACGGAGACTACGGCAGCTACGAAGAATCCTCTTTCACGCCGCCGTACCACGCCTCTGGCGGATTCGGTGGAGAGTATGAGGAGGAAGTGACGGTGGAACACGTTTCTCATACCGTCGATAGTCCCGATCCCTATGGGTTCGGGTCGGATAACCAAACCGATCCATTCGGAGCTCCGATCCCGAATGGGAATGGTAAGCCCTACGATCTAGGTGATGATTCTGAGGGAATTTTCAGCTCCGATGGACCCGTCCTTCCTCCTCCTAATGAAATGCGCGAGGAAGGTTTTGCACTCCGCGAATGGCGTAGGTTTGTTCTACTTCATTCCTATTTTATTGCGAATTTATTCTAATTCACTATATTGCCAAAATTGGAAAAAAAATCGAAATTGAGCTGTTTTTTTAGATTTTAACTTATATTGACAGATCTATTGCTTATTGTTAATTACTGTAAATGCCAGTTCATTGATAAGATCAGTTTTATTTTATAGTTCGTAAGCTCTTTAGTGAGCTATATCGAACTGTGATTTTAGTTCCGCAATTTTTTATTTTATGGTTTGATTTGCAGATCTGGTGATGGTACTAATAGATCTGTTAGTTTTCGGTTTGTGCTTATTTTAAAGAGATTTAGTTGTGTAAGCGGGTCATCCTTATGATTTCTTAGCGGAGAAAAGAGACTGGAAATAGAAAAATTGGATTCTTTAGATCTTATCGATTCGAGTATTTTGTTGCTAGTCATATTTTGCCGGAGGTGATGCATAACGATCAAAATTTGTGAGAACTTTACTGGTGCTGATTTTCTACTGCAGTGAGTGGTGTCAAGATTGCTTCTTTGTGCCATGGGACAGAATAATTTTTAGTGGGTATATCCCCAATAAGTTAGTTATTCTTTTGCAGTAAAATTAAGTAAAGTTTGTGGCAATAACTAGTTAGTTATATTTAAAGCTAAAAAAAGATATTGTTAGAGCTAGATTAATTTCTGGAATTGGTTCATAGATCGTCGCGTATGGAGAAAGAACTTAGACAGATGATACAAGTTCTACATTAGTGATTGCATCTCATTGTTAATTGAGATCTAAAGTTGATTTGACTTTGTTCTACTAGTAGTAGTGTGCTAAAAGAGCATATTCTGGAAAGTCATCTCAGGAAAATATCAGGCCATGTTTCGCTGGCTAATTCTTTATGGAGAGTGATTGGTTCTGTACAACTCCTTTTCCATTTGGTACATTTTGTTTGAATTGGGGGTTGGGGCTTTTTCCAAAAAGGTTAAAAAAGAAATGGGGGAGGTAGGGCGTGGGGGTGATACATATGGAGTAGCATTCTATTGGTGCTATTGGCAGGATTAGGACCAGATGTTGCTCCTATTCCATAGCAGTTGATCTTTATCGCAATAGAGAGGGTTAAAGGGACATTCTAGAAAATATCCCTCTTGTACTTTTTACAAATATAACCTTCAACTATTCTTATGTGCATTTTATGTGTAAAAAATACACCAGAAGACGCATGTAGTTCATGTGAGCGAGACAAAGGGATACTTTTGGCTTTTTTTTAAAAAAAAAAGACAAAAACTCAGTCATAATTGTAATAGTAGCAAATGAGCTGGGGGTGCAATGGCTCAACAGGACCTTCCATCAAGATCCCATCCTTTTACCTATAAAAATGTAGTAGTAGTAGTAGTAGTACTAGTAACAACTATAATAATAATTGTTCAAATAAATGATAGGGGAGGGGTTTTTTTTTTTTGGGGGGGGGGGGGGTGGTCATGAAGACGTTTACATCAACAAAAACAAGAAGCAAAGATTAAAATAAAGGAGAACCAGTTAAGGGATAGGATTGTTGTCGATCACATTAGAATGGGGAGTAGTGATGTTAACTTGATGCATGCCTTCAGCCTTGAAACTAGGTGCATAGGGAACTACTTGTTGAGCTCTTTATCATGTTTAGACAACAGATCATTGTAGGCACTACGTTGAACGCCATGACACTTTGTAATAAATAAAGTCGCAAAGTCACATATTAATTGTTACTGTGAATGAGTTTTTAGTTATTAGAATTAAGAAATTAGAAATTTAGTGCAATAAAATTAGCCTTAAAATCCTAATTAGAAACTTAAAACTGCATTGCACCTCATTAAAAAAATGTATACAGCTCTTGAATTTGGTTGACATGATTTTACTTTAAGCCCGTTTGGCCATGAATTCTTTTTCACTTTATTTTTCGAAATAAGTGTTAGGCCATAAAATTTTTAATTTTCACTTGAAGATGAATTTTGGAATTTTTTGAAAATTTGAAAAACTCCAAAAAGTTGTTTTTCAAAATTTTAACTGAGATCACTCACAAAAATTCTAAAACAACCCAAAATTATATTCATGTCCAAACACAAATCTAATTTTCAGATACCATTTTCACTTGAAAAAAATTTCACTTTTTTTCGGAATTGTACAATTCTTATGTCCAAACGCCCACTTTGTCTTTCACTTAGTTATAGCTCTCTCAATCCTTTCCCTATATGATTATTAATTGTGTTTATAGTTATTTTTCCTTGCATTAAATAATAAAGATATGCATTTTTATTTTTTTACTTTTATTCCCCCCACCCCCTTTTTGTGCCTTCCTTTTCTAGAGCACATGCTTTATTGAGTTTTTTGATTTACAGGCCCATTAGATTTGGGTTTATACCAGTCGCCTTTGATAACAAGAAGGGCAGTTGCAAACGTAACAATTGCGTGTGTGTGTGTG